TTGCTCCAAGCCTCCAAACTCCCAAGATTCCTTCAACAAATACCCTTCAAGCTCCCAAATGCACTTTGATCCACTCACACACGAATGCTAAGGGTTTCTGTACTTGAGGATGAGTAAAGAGGCTAGGGGAATGGATGTTAAGTTCTTTATATAGGGCTCAACCCTGAGAATTAGGGGTTTCTCCACTCAGCACCTACTCGCCGAGTCCATCTTTAGACTCGCCGAGTAGGCCACTTGACACGCGACCAATTTATAATCATTATTAGAAAGAAATTGAAAAGTCATGTGAGTTTCAAATGAATGTGGTGAAAGGAAAAATAATTTGGAGTTTAATATTTATGTGGTTAAAGGAAAAATGTTTCCTTTATAGTATTTAATGTTTAAGTTTCTATCATTGTAATTATTTAAAATATCAAACATTGTTTGTAACATCCCAGAATTTCAAGAGTAGAGTTGAAGGGCTAAAAGTGTAAGTTTTAGAGGGTGACTCGGCGAGTCCATGGATAGACTCGGCGAGTCAGGTCGCGACTATGGTCGCGTATCAAGTGGCCTACTCGGCGAGTCCAAAGATGGACTCGGCGAGTAGGTGCTGTATGGAGAAAACCCTAATTTTCGGGGTTGAGCCCTATATAAAGAGCATTATGCCCCTCCACAGCCTCCCTTATTCCCCCCTTGAGTTCCAGAAACCCTAAATTCGTGGAGAGTTCCATTATTGAGCAAATTAGAGCTTGGAGAGGTGTTGGTTGAAGAAATCTTGAAGGAGAAGTGGCTTGGATCAAAGGGCTTTGCTTGGATTCGAGTTTCATTGCTATTGAGGCATCTTTTGGAGGTAATACTTTCGTTCTTGGGCTGTGTTTTCCTAGTTTCTCATTTGGGGGGTTGTGTGGGGAGCTTGGTGGTGTGGCATCTTGATGTTTGGAGGATGGATCTGAGGTTGCTACCTCAGATCTGGAGTGGAGAAGACCTTAAGAGAAATTAAAGCCCCTGTTCTTGTGTTGTTAATGGAGCTACCATGTCCCAAACCTTGGTTCTAAGGTGAATAAGGCCTAGATCTCTTTAGATTCACGTAAAGTTTGCCACTTTACGTGATGGATGGATTGTAGGAGGTTGGATCTATGTTTTGGATCAATTGCATGGCCTGAGATGCTTCTGTATGGATTCAGACCAGTGATACTCGACGAGTCACATGGGTGGACTCGACGAGTTGCTTGAAGATGGCCTGGAACTCGACGAGTTGGAAGAACAACTCGGCGAGTAGGTTGAAGATAGCCTTGGACTCGACGAGTCCATTTGGACTCAGCGAGTCTTGTCGAGGAAGTCCCAATATTTTTGGTTGAGTCGATGAATCGGTGAGTCAAGGGATGACTCAGTGAGTTAGGTGCGAGTGGACTCAGAGTTGTTGGACTCGACGAGTCTTGGGGCGACTCGGCGAGTTGGGTCGCTGACTGAAGGAAGTTCTGAGCATAAGGACTCGGCGAGTCATCGGGTTGACTCGGCGAGTAAGGTCAGTCAGGGGTTGACTTTGACTTGTCCAAGGTTGACCAGTTGTCTTTAGGGGTATTTTGGTAATTAAGGGTATTTATTGAGTTGAATGTTTTGATGTTCAGTGGAGGAGTTTGTGTCAGAGTTCGGAGCAGCGGGATCTTATCCTTTCAGCCGGCAGTTTCGAGGTGAGTTATCCTCACTATATCAACAGGGTCTAAGGCACCAAGGTCGGCCCTTTATTGGATTGAGATTCGGATATGGTTATTATGTTATTGTTTGATGTGTCTGCATCCTGGTAGCTAGGATGGTACAAGCTAGGAGACCTTATTAAGGTCAGTTTCCCAATATATAGAGTGATGCTATGCTAGTGACCGGTTAGGTCGGTAACCTGGTTAGGGTAATGATATGCTATGTGATCTGCTTGCTCGGTTTGTTGACTATGACTGTTATATGATTGTATGTTATGTGCACATGGTTGTTTGGACTAGAGATGGGTTGAGGCGGGTCCTGCTTTGTGCTGTAGGCCAAGATACCCAGGGCGGACAGGTTATTTCGATGGCCCAGCGAGCGGTCCGGATAGGCTGTAGGCCCCACGAGGGCGGACCAGACGTGCCGAGGCTCGGAGAGTGGACCAGGCCGACTGAAGGCCTGATGCGGGCAGACCCGTCACACTGTAGACTCAGAGAGTGGACCAGGTGGGTTGAAGGCCCGATGCGGGCGGACCAACCCCACTGTAGATTCGAAGGACATGACTAGACCTGGAGGATGGATCCGGTGGACTGAAGGCCCGATACGGCGGACCAGTCACACAGTAGACCCGATATGCATGGCTGTTCTATGTCCTGTTATGTATGTTTTATATGTTTTGGACCGGAAGGTCGCAGCCTGGAAGGGCGTATACGTGGTTGGTATTTTGGGGGTATCTCACTAAGCTTTCGGGCCTACAGTTGTGGTTTAATGTTTTTCAGGTTCCTCAGGAGATTGTGGCAAGGCGAAGGCGCGATCGTACCGCTCCTCATGATTTTGTAGCAATGTGATTCTGTGAATACTCTAAATGATTTATATTGAAAACCTTTTAGTAAACAATTTAATGAAAATCGGGTTATTTTGAAATTTTTAAATTGGTTGTATATTTCGGATGTTACATTGTTTTTTGTTTTTAAAGGTAACAATATAATCATTTATATAGATTATTTTTAATTATTTTTATGGTAAGTTATATTAAACTACTTAATTGAAAACTTTTAATGATTATAAAAATATCTTTAGAAAATATTTTAGTGAAATTGAGATTACAATTTAGTTTTTGCATTTAGCACTATAATTTATCACTTTTAACTATTTACAAAAAAATTCTTTGAGTTTTTTAAGTGAAACTAAAATTTATATTTAAGTTGATCATGTAATCTTATATTTAAGTTAACAATTTAAATATTTTATCCAAACTGTTCAAAAGTTGTAGCTTTAACTGATAATAGTTAAATACAACAACATATTAAATCTAATATATTAAGTATAATATGTTAAAAATTAATGATATAACTTTATAAGTAAAAGTAAAGATACTATTTTAATATTGAAATTTAGTTTATTTATGATTACAATTTAGGTTTGATATTTATTTAACCTTATTAACCAATTTACAATCATTATAAGAAAGAAATTGAAAAGTCATGGCAGTTTCAAATGAATGTGATGAAATGAAAAATAGTTGGGAGTTTCAAATTGATGTAGTTAAAGGAAAAATGTTTCATTTATAATATAGTATGATATGATATGATGATATACACTACAACATTAAAACCCTATGGTGACGACAAATTCCGACCCTATACCGACGACTTGTCGTCTGTATACCGTATGCCGAAAACTTTTCGTCGGTATAGAGTCGTCGACGTAGCCTTGTCGGCATAGGTCAATAGAGTCGTCGGTATAGATGTCGTCGTGACAGCTTCACCTATACCGACGACTAGTCGTCGGCATAGAGTTTGTCAATCATATTTTCGGGGTTAAAAAATAAAGTTTTATTAATTACCTATAGCGACGACTTGTCGTCGGCACATCTATAGTGACGACTTGTCGTCACCACAGGTTTAATCTATTACGATGACTTGTTGTTGCTATAGGTTTTTAACATGAGTCAATAACATACCTATAGCGACGACTTGTCGTCGGGATAGGCACTGTTTGTTTTTTTTTTCAGTTTTACAGATTTAGTACATTACCATTCCTACATTTTTAACAAATCCAAAACACATTCCAACATATATCAATTAAAATGCATTAACTAAGTACCATTGTTCAAATTCAAAACATCAAATTCAAGTTCAAATTGAAGTTTAGTAGTTAACTAACATTGTTTAAATCACTAAAAAACATCAAACATCATTATCATAATCATATTCTTCTTCTTCTTCTTCTCCTTCTCCTTCTTCTTCTTCTTCTTCTTCTCCTTCTTCTCCTTCCATCCTTTCGACAACTTGTTGAGAGGTATTTGTTTGTGTGTTAGAGTTGAATAGAAAGTTAGGAAATGGAGGTGGTTGGAAGCCCGGAATACATGCCGCCAATGATGCATTATATTGTTGCAAGTATTCTTGCATTTGTTGTGCATCAAATTGGGATTGAGATTGGGGTTGAGATTGGGAAGATTTTGAAGTGGAACATCGTTCATTTGGAATTAAACCGAAGTTGGCGATTGGTCTCCTACCCACTCCGCGAGCATGCCCGCATCTCGTCCCAAGGGCACGTTCTAAACATTCTTCCTCGTCTACTATTCCGCCTTCCGCAACCTCGCTTTGCATTTTCTCATATTCTTCTTGAATTTTTTCCTAAACTAAAGAAAACAATAAACATACATTAATTAAAACAAACAACTAAACTTAAACATTAAAATAATAATAATATTCCTTAAACAAAAAACTATAATTAATAATAATAATAATAATAATAATAATAATAACAATAATAATAATAATAATAATATATTTAAACAACGCATTCATTTCGTTTATCACTTACCCAATCTTCTTGTGTTCGACTTGTACACCAACCTGAACCTTCTTTGTAGCGCATTTGTATCCAATCATCAATATGTTGCGGCTTCATTCCCGTTTTTTCCTATAATAAGTGAAATCAATAAATATATGTATACAAATGTTAATAACACTTTTAACTAATATTATAATATTTTATTACCTCTAAATAACATCGTTGAGTATAGGGTCTGCATCCGTGAGCACTTGTGTGCGGAAGTTTCGACCTATAAATTTTATTTTTTTTCCGACGTGCGTCTGTATTCATCGGTTAAAAATAACAAATCAAACATTTTGTTCCAAGCTTCAGCGGACCAATCAGTCGGTGGACATCTTCTTGCCCTTTTCACATCATGATATCCACCAACTCTATCAAAATGGTTTTTCATATCATGCTTGCGGTCTCAATAAGCTCTTTGCATGTCTGCTTGGATACCCGCTCGAAGGGGTTCCCACAAGTCTGTGCCTCGGTACCTATTTAGATCAAAATAAGTCTACAAAAGGAAAAACATATTTGATTAGTAAAAAAATATTTAATAAATGTAAAATTCAATACATATAAAATATATTGTATACTTACTTCTAGCTCGGGATATAAATCATTTTTGTAATGGATAGGAACACGACGCCAAGTATGATATTGTAACGGTACATTTGATCCCACGAGATTTGAGATCAGTCTAACAAACATTTGGCCGTTGTCCCCCACAAATCGGTACGTCCGCCCGGAGATATCAATATTCAAATCCAACGGCTTACACTTGTTGTTTTCATACCCCTATGTCGACGACATGTCGTTGGTATAGGGTTAAAATAAACGATGTTGTTTGCTATTTACGTTGAAATAAAAAAAAAATTAAAAAAAAAAAAAAAACCATCTATGCCGACGACAAGTTGTCGGTATAGAATCCGTAAAACTACGTCGTTTTGATAAACCAGACCAGCGAATATAAATAACTGGAAAAATAGATTTATCGAAAGCTATACCGACGACAAGTCGTCGGCATAGGTTTTCAGCATGCCGCGTATTTTTTGGTCGTTCCCACCAGAGGTTTCGAGACAACATGCCGTCGGCACAAGTATCCGGGTCAAACAATTTTGGTCAAAATTGACAAAACGTGCGGCGACGACTAGTCGTCAGCATAGGGGGTTGTAGCGACGACTTTTGTCGTCGGCATGGGTGTCATCACCATAGCCATGTATTCCTGTAGTGATAGATAGATTTGAAAGCTTATGTATTCCTGTAGTGATAGACAGATTTGAAAGCTTAAAATCAAACACTTGATCAAATAAGAGTAAACAATTTGAAAATGAATAGAGAGAAAATTGTGAAAGAAAAAATTGTACAAATGAGAAAAAGAATACAAATTATATATCTTTGATAATTCCGGAATTTCATGAACAATTCCGCAAAAATTTAGGACAAAATGATTATATTTATAAAACATAAAAACTTGGTTATTTTTAATTTTTATTAAACAACTTATTTATAATTTATTTATATTAGTTAGTTTAATCAATATTGATCAACCTACATCTTTAGTCTAAATCAACTTAATTGCTATGGGTGGCAAAAACTTCACCACTGAGACTTGGTTCTTGATCCTTTAAAAAAACTGTGAATCTCTTATGGGTTTCTTTTTAGGTTAAAATGAGATCTATTAATTTGCTTTTGGTGGATTTATAGGTTGACATGATTGCCTTTGAATCCTTATATAGGCAATCTACGTTATATGTATCTGAAGAATCCCCTCTTACCCACACATGATCAACAAAGAACGCATATGGTAGTTTTAAATTTTTTATATAAACAAAAATATGACTATATAAAAGTATCCGAGAAAAAAAAAACTACTTATTTACATCTTCAACTTGGTATTCATTATAACTGAAACCGATCCGAGGTTTACCCATGCTGAAATTTAGGACCCTTGCATTCATGTTGTATTGTATATGTCCCTCGTAAAGCAGTTTCCGAATGTAGTGTTCTATGTCTGAACCAATAAGTCGTAATGTGTATTCCGTCAATGGTGCTCCCTATTACAACATCACAAACATTCAAAACTTAAATACAGAATTTTTCTTTTTTATGAAATATATTGACATAACTATGTAGTTTTTCCAAAGTATAGGCTATAATAACACATTAATAGGTAAAAACAAGTGTTTAAAATTAGAAATACGTTGGGAAATTAATTAGCATTACCTCATAGTGGTCAACAAGCTCCTGAAAGTACGAGTAAACCATGTTGCAGGTTTCCGGCGTCCAAACAAACTCATCCGTGGGATCAAGGATAAGGGTGAGCTTATCCATCTGTGTTTGATCGAAAGCACATGTCTCAGGGTCGATATATGCTGCGAAGATTCTCACGTGTCTTGTGGTGCTGCTCAGCCATTGACCACCGTACTCCCGCCCCATGTTCTTGCTTTGTACATTCACTTGTGGCTCAACGGGCCTCGGCTGGGTGACACCCTTCACCACCGGTTTCTCTTCTTTCACTTCTTCTTGTTGTATTGAAGTTGATTCTTGCACTTCTTGTTGTTGAGCACACACCGAGAAGCCATTGTTGCTTCGTTTTCTGGGGAATAAGGTTTCTGTTTTGTTCATGGGTTTCCACCCCACCATGGAAGCCATTGACGATAAAGCTGCTGCCATTGTTTTGGGTGTTTTTATTTTTGTTCAGAGTTCTTGATGATTCTATGGTTAAAATTTCATGTTTTTGTTGAATTAGGTGTGGATAAGTTTTTTTGGTTTTTTGTTTCAGATGTATGTGAAGGAGTAGGCAACAAAGTGTTTGTGGTAGGAAATCGTTTAAGAATTTGCCGATGATGTATTTCTCTATATCGGTATATCCATCTTTAAAAGTTTCTATAATTTTGAATTTCCTGATATATCATAAACGGGCTTGGGCCCGATTCCAAAGGGCTTTATATATGTCAGAATCCAATTTTTATGTCCCGTCGGACCGGATCCATGATACACCATTACGACGTCGTTTTCAAATTTTAAAATGTCAATTAAATGATTTAATTCAGGGGACCACGTATTACCATATTTATACTTCGCTTTAGCTATCATGAATGGCATGAAAGGAGTATAGTCGATATACTATATGGCATCTAGGGCCCGTTTTGTGCATCTTCTTCTTTTCTTAATTGAATTGGACGCTAAACCTAATACTTGCTTTTCAGTAAAGGTGTGACAAAAGTCATATAGGATTCTAAGATAATGATATAAAGAAACATTTGGCCAACTCAATTCTCCTACCAATATGTCGGTTGGGGTTCATGTTACAACAAGTGTCATAACAAAAAAGTTAAACCAAATTTCTAAGTTCTAACAACAAGACAAATCCAGCATCGACCGACTCAAAAGGTTGACTACATCAAATCAAAGTAAAAAACACCGTGTGTACAGGATGATGTAAGCACCAATTTTGTGGATAATGCTGAATTTGAAGTCGGTTTTGAACTTTAACAAAATTGGCACACAATGATGTAAGCACCAATTATGTCGATAATGTTGAATTTGAAGTCGGTTTTGAGATTTAACAAAATTGGCATGGTTGGTTTATCTAAAAAGTCCCACATAAAAAGTCTCATAACTTTGAGATTATGTAAAACGTTTTTCAGCGCAAAATGTTTTTTTTAAGGGATAATAACTTAAAAGGGTAATATATTTTCTGATTTGTACACATTTAGTCACTTATTTTTTTTCCGTCCACATTTACCCCTTCAACTTGTTAAACTGTACACATTTAGTCCTTATGACCGGCTACTCCAGGTTAGCCGGTAAAAAGGACTTAATAGGGTAATATATTTTTCATTTTGTACACATTTAGTCCTTAATATATTTGTACATATTTAGTCCTTAATATTTTTTTATTGCAAAATAAGTCATTTTTGTTTTTATACTCATTCAGTATTTATAAATAATTTATTTAGGTTTTCTCACATCTTACGTAGATAGTCATATGATGGTGTGATAGGTTGAGGTGGGCCAGCTATATGTTGTAGTGCGGGCTAGTTGTAAGCCATAGACACGGATGCTTGGGAGGAACGGTTGGGTTAAGGCGGCATGCCGACAAACCCTAGGTATTCCAGTTTGATGATTAATTGAACATGTTGCATATTGGCATTCCAATCCAATGACTGTATGGGCCAAGGTATTCTAATCTGATGAGTGTGGGGCCGTTATACATGATAATACGTTTGTTGTATCACGTATTTTGGGGGAAACTCATTAAACTTTGTGTTTACCCAGTTGTTTATGTTTTCAGATTCTATTGTTGATCGTGGGAAGGCGAAGACATGACAGTACACACTCATCAACAGTATTGAGGATTCCACGTTTCTTATATTACTCTGATTTTCGATAAATGTATTTTGGAATAAACATTTTTTTTTCTTAATAATGGATTTATAACTAGAGAGTTTTGCCTTATTTAAAAATGAAAATTTTTTGTTGTGAAAATGAGACGTTACACATAAACATCAACAACCCCACACACTTTATCAATGATTGTCCCACGTAAAATGTCGTGAGAAAAATCTAAAGAAATCATTCATAAGTACTGAATGAGTATAAAAGCAAAAATGACTTATTTTGAAACAAAAATCTATTAAATACTAAATGTGTACAAAATGAGAAATATATTATCCTATTAAATCATTTTTGCTGGCTAACCTTGAGTAATCGGTTATAAGTACTGAATGTGTACAGTTTAACAAGTTGAAAAAGTAAATATAAACGAAAAAAAACTCAATTACCATACAAATCGAAAAATATTACCTTTTAGTCACTATCCTTTTTTCAAATAACCAAGTCCGTAAAGATTTGAACTTAAACCCTTTTACCCTCTATATATTTTGGAGCAGTTAAATCTCAAGCAATAGCCACTGGCCACGTCGAACCTTTTTTATTCTCTGTACTTTTAGGTTTATTTCCAAAAGTGTCGACACCGGTGCAAAAGTTTAATTTTTTTATTCTGGGTACTTTACATATTACTAACATGGTAACAAATTAACACGTGTTCATGAATTGTGAAGAATTATTTGCCACCTATAAAGGCAGAAATTCTAGGCAATAAACAATATGAAATGAGTTAATTTGCTTGAGCCTTGCCTCTTTTCCAAAAAGATACAAAAACAATATAAGGCGAGTTAATAAATTTCGATCTTATAGACCCCATACCTTTGAGAAAATCATGTAGTCTATAAATCCCTTTAGAGATGGGAGATTCAAAATCTCAAAATAGCTTACTAGTTACAAACACGTACGAATTAATTTGTTAAGTTCTAATCATAAAGTTATAATAAAACACAAGTAACTCTACCCAATCGTGTGAAAAACTGCATCCAAAAAGTTAACTTACCAAACCACAACACAACACAAGTACATATTCAATGAAACTCTAGGTTACTCGAAACAAGCTGGCTCTAACCACTGGGATTCATCCAACCCATTATTGCAATAACTTAAATAGCCAATAGTGTAAACAAGAATATCAACAAGTTGAAGCTACGTTCAAGCCTATAATTACCTGAAAAAAACATAAGTTGCCAAACCAAAAAAATAATATCATAAGTGCATTGCCTATATCGGTTAAAAATGGTACATTGGCTGTATTGGTAAAAAGATTAAAGGCACCAATCAAAACGAATCTCATAGACCCAAGTCAAAGAAATTAATTTATTGGTTAAGTTGATGATGAAACGCTAACTATTACTTCCTCAATCCAAAAAAATGTAACGTTTTCCCTTTTAAGTTGTCTAAAAAAATGCAACTAATTAAATTTCATAGGTGGTAGCATGTTCTAACAATCTAACTCATGCACTTTGGGTACTTGGTACATGTTTTTTTTGAAGTTATATTAACACCAAATATTCTATAATAATAGCTGGTTTGACATTAGAATTTGGAAAGTTATTAAATCAATCGGAATGCATATGGTAATTAATGGATAGTCTTACCTTGATTTGAATGATCGTCTGACAAACTTGGAGGGGGAGCAGGGGGTGATTTGTTCCCAAATCCAAGTCCAAGGTCCTTACAGTCCATTCCAAGTGAACCTAACCAAAAAAAAAAAACAAGAATCCGTTTACACACAACTACACTTGTTCAATTGGACAAAATCGTAATCTTCTTCAACAAAAATATCCCTAGAAAGCTTGTCTAGTCTGGTTGTGTACCTTGTAACAAACGCAACCTAAGGTTGCATTTGTTACATTCGACATAATTGGACCGGACAAAGACAAAAAAATTAGGGTTATTTTTTGGGATTAGGATTAGGAGGGTATTCACGTCTTTTTGTACAGACAATATATCGAGAGTGAATCCCTATCCCATCTTTATTTCGTCAGACAAAAATTTACAACTTGTGTCCCATTGACATCAGTCTCAGTTCTAGTCCAATGCATGCAAAATACAGTATTGTTTTCTAGAGTAGATTGTGGACTTACATTCTTTAAAGCAAGGAGAAAAGGTTAAGTTGAGAAGGTTATGATAACCCTCATCACATTCGCATTTATGGGTGAAGAGAGATGTTGTCTCACATTTTCCTCCTCCACAATCGGTCCACCTACACACTAGAAAAACAAGCACCAATCACAATACATTTAAACCAAAAAGTCTAAATGGGTAAACAGAATTTTATAAAGTTTTAATGGTTGTGTACCATCAAAGATTGATTCATTCCCTCGGGTCTCCTTTTCTTGCACAGGGGATGGAGCTTTCGAACATGAATAATTCATTGTGCCTAAAATATGTATTAACAGTCACATACAAATGGTAGAATTTTATTGACAAAAAGAAATATAATCAAGGGGTATATGGTAAGTGGTAACAGCTAAATACATAGTTCAATACAATGAGTCAATGACAAAATATGGGACCACTCGGATTAAAATCAAATAGCATTAATAACTTTTAATGGTGTAATGACTTTTACTTCTATTGTTTTTTATTTTATGATTTTCCATTTATATTTTTATCTTGACATATTTTATCTCTTTCAAAATTGTAAAAATCATATCTACATTACTGCCCACCCATGTATTCTGTGTGTTTAGGTAATATTTTTCTTGTCACATATTCCTACCCTCACGTGTATTGTGACAGTTAAACAATATATGAGAGAAAGATGGGGTGATTCTTATTTTACATTTACATAATTAAAGAACATAATTCAAGAAGTTTTAGGCTTACAATTTGGGATGACACAAGGGAGAAATTTCAAAGAGTCGTCATCATCAGTAACAGCTATTTGCTTCCACCCAGGTGAGCATTCACATTCAAATGGGATAGTGCTGTTACCCGAAGGCTTGCAGGTTCCCTGACCACATTTCACATCATTGCATGCATCTTCTGTGAAAATTTACATTACAAAAAAGATGAAAAACTTCAGAGCTTTTTCAAGTAAATCCTAAATTTCACCAAAAAAACATGGATATGAATCCTAAATCCTTCATGAAAAAAATATATATCTCTACAAAAACAATTATTGATAGCATACTTGGAATCCTTATATGCATAACATCACTTTGTCCACTTTTCATATAAGATACAAATTAAATTCAAAATTAACTGAAGTAGTTTAATGAATCAATATATGAAAAGAAGCTCATCTACTTGTGAACTAAAGCATTAAACTTCAACTATTGGCCATTTAGATTGTTAGATAACACCTCAACTGAACACAAAAAAGATGTAACTGATATAGTCGCAGGAATCAAGGTTCTAATACCCCAAATCCTATTTTATTTTTAGTTAAGAGATTAGAGATTTTGGGAAGTAGGTCAAGTTTGGCGAGCCAAAAGGTGATAATACATAAATATTTTTATGTAAATAGCT